GCGGAAACCGCGACCGAAATTGTCAGTCACAAAGTGCAACACAACCCCAGCTCAAGATGGCAACTTGATTGTGTCACTTGAAGGTTCGCTGTCTGCGGAAGTAGGATTTAGGGACGATTTCAATCCTATCCTGGAAATCTACGTCGATGGCCAACGTGTCCCCGCATCATCGCTCTCGATCAAAGCACTAACAGCAACAGGCCGGCGTCCGGGCGTTTCAGGATTTGGCTGTGAATACCCAACTCCCCCACCACCAGAACAAGACGACCGCAACCGCGTTGTCGGCAAGGTCGCCAGAGACAGTATAATGGTCATGATCGTCGCACGGAACGGCGAAGATGGCTGGCCGTCGGGATATGTGAAATTGCTTTACAATGATACAAGTTAGCGCAGGTCTCTGAAAGAGCTGGCATTGGCTGCAAACCTCTCCTTCGGTGGACTTTGAGCGATGCTGAGCCAAAATTGAGCAATTCCAGACTGGACTCAAGTGAAGCGGCGAAGCGGTAACGGAGACTGACAGAAGTAGATTCCGAGGCGGCCGGTGAGTATGATATAATAGCCATACATCCAATAGGCAAAACTTAGCCTCTTCAAGGCGTATTTGTGTTCCCGAGCCCAACTGGTCGCTATTTCAACTGACTCGTGCTTAAACGCCTTTTCGGTGATGGCTGTGTAATCCGGAACGCGTTGCGCGAGAGAATGCGAACCTCGACAGAATGTTTAGGACAAGAATCTGCCTTCTATCGCCGTGCGAGGTTGTTATTTCAGCGAGTCCCAGAGGGCCAGTCTACTACACGTGACCAGGCTGAAGACCCGATTTGCTGGGGCTGAGGCCGAGCTCGCGGCTAATTATTTGTGGTATACGCAGCAGGGGGCACCTAATCAAGGCAATGAATGCTCGACGATGCGGTACAGCAAATCGGTCCTTAGGGTCAAAGAAGCAAGCAGAAGGCACATCCTGAAACTAGTACAGTGGTTAGCTCCTCGATTCCTCTGAGGGGCAAGCCGTGACGGCTTCTGAGCAAGACACAACCGATGGAGTTCTCAAATGCTAACACCTGAAGAGAACAAAGGTAGCTGAGGGATAAGTGGAAGGCAGTCAAGATAAAGTAGATAAATGGGTTGACTTGATCATGAGTGAAAGAGGTGCCGGGTGTTTGAGCAACTTCACGAGCAAGGCGATAGACGGAGCTGAGAGCGGATGATGCGATGGGAATCTCCATTCCCGACTAGGTAGCATGTTTAAACACTTTTTGGAATTGAAGTTGAGAGGTTGGTATATGCAAGCTTCTTCCATCCCAGATCGGACTCCCCAATTGTTGCAATGCCCTCGGTCATGATCGTCCCAGTCTGTGACCCGAAATCCCTGGCAAAATGTACATTCCAAAATTCTGACACGATGAAGACATGACACATTTTGATACAAAGCTCCAAGGCGTCAGTGCTAGCGGTAGCCCTCCTCTTGTCTGCTTCTGCACCTGGAGAATTACCCGACCTATTTCAGGACTCGGGTGATAAGGCCAGTCGCCACCGTCCGTCCACCTTCTCGCACGTTGAAACGTTCACCTGCTTCCATAACCACTGGGTGGTGTGTCTTCAAAACCATCTCGAGATTGTCACCAGGCATGACCATCTTGCTTGGATCCTCAGTGCCCTCAGGGAACTTGAGTTGTGCCGCCTCATCTGCCGTCCGGATGTAGACTTGTGGCTTGTAGTTCTCAGTGAAACCTGACTTTCTGCCACCTTCCTCTTCGGTCAAAATGTACAGCGACACAAGCGCTTCTTGGTGTGCCTTGGCAGTCCCGGGAACGGCAATCACCATTCCACGCTTGACGTCTTCTCGCTTGACGCCTCTTAGGAGAAGACCGGAGTTGTCACCAGCTCTTGATTCTTCGCAGGACTTCTTGAATGTTTCAATGTCTGTAACCTTGGTTTTGATAACCTCGTCACGACCACCCACAATCTCAACCTCGCTATCCTTCTTCAACACGCCTCGCATAACGCGACCTGAGGCGACAGTGCCTCTTCCTGCGATGGAGAAGACTTCTTCGACCGACATGAGGAAGGGCTTTTCAGTGTCTCGGACGGGGGTTGGGATCCAGGTATCGACAGCCTCCAGCAGAGCATCAATCTTTTCGACACCAATCTCGGGTCTGGTGCCTTCGAGCGCACATAGAGCAGAACCAAAGATGATAGGGGTATTGTCCCCTTCGAAGCCGTACGAGGACAACAGCTCGCGCATTTCCATTTCGACAAGCTCCAACATTTCAGGGTCCTCAACAGTGTCGACCTTGTTGACGAAAACAACAAGCTTTTGGACACCGACCTGACGCGCTAATAGGAGATGTTCTCGTGTTTGAGGCCTGCGCAAAGTCAATCTCAGGCATGGGCTTCAAGGAGGATGTATCTCACATCTGTCCATCACCTGCGGCAACCACCACGACAGCACCATCCATAAGAGCAGCACCAGTGATCATGTTTTTGATGTAATCAGCGTGACCGGGGCAGTCGACGTGCGAATAGTGGCGGTTACTGGTCTCGTATTCGATATGCGCAGTTGCGATTGTGATACCACGTTTTCGCTCTTCCGGAGCTTTGTCAATCTTGCCATAATCGAGAAACTGTGCTAGGCCTTTGTCCGCTTGTCTTTTCGTGATAGCTGCTGTGAGGGTTGTCTAGCGCCATGATAAGCCGAGGGCTCGACCACAACGGGGGAGAAATCTACCTTTCCATGATCGACGTGACCAATCGTACCTGAGAAAAGGTCAGAGGAAGAAACCGGAACAAGGGGAACAGGCTCGCCACAGACCAACGTTCACATGAGGCTTGGTCCGCTCGAAAACGGTAGCATATGCTCTGGCAGCGAATCTGTCATGGCCAAAGACTCTGTTGACAGGGTTAACACCTCGAGCGGGGGATACAATGTGCCGGGAAGTGCGCAGGAGAGAAACAACCGAGCGAGAGAAGGCCATCGCGACGCCGGAAGAAGGAAGAATGAAGGAAAAGAAGAGAAATCCCAAGACTGCAGCACGCGAAGATGGAAGATGATACGAGCAATAGAATTAATGCAGACACGGACCAGAAAAATAAAATGTTCTCGAACGAGTCTACAGGAGAGCTCCAGACTATATCCCAATCAGGGATAGTCAATATATACGGTGAAGCATTCTTGGCATTAACTACCAGGAGGTGTAGTTGAGATGAAGTATCGAAAGTATTCATTCTCACCATGATCCGCGCCCTTCTCTCCTACCGATACACAAAGTATTTGTTCTGCGCCAAGCACATCGACTCTCACACTCTCAACTGCACGCGCTGCAACCTCTCAAGGTATTGTTTCATTACCTTGTCAGAACTGGCCCTTAGATCTCGGAGGTCCCATTCTCATTTCGAGCTTCGTCGAGTCGGCCGCTTCCTCTATTCTTTTGCACCATCAGTGACCTAAGCGCGGGATCTCTCCTCTCAATTTGCTTCCTAGCCTGCATGTGAAGAGTATCAATCATAGCTTAAATGATATTTGCCATCACACCGCTGACAAGGGCTATCAGACTGTCGAAATAGATGTTAATCTGATTTTCGCAATTGAGAGCAGGAGATCAAATGGATGAAGGCAGTCTACAATATAATGGCGAGCTGTCAGATGCTAGAGGTTCGGCGCCACTTCCACCTGACCTAGAAGAACTTTCACTTGCGAAATTCGACGACCAGGTGGCTAAAGGACAGCTGATCTACGAGCCTTCAACGGCTGAGACTCTGGAAGACCAAGGATTCAAAGTAAGTGATTTTGTTCGGCCTCCGCTAGGCCAACAAAGAGAATAGCAAGTCACCAGCTCTTCCAAATTCGATCGGACCTGACAACCGCAGCTCAATTTTCAATTCGTGCCTCACCTGCGCCGCAAGCCCATCACCCCATCAGATGCGCCTGAGAGGAAGACGGGACAGGGGCATAATCCATTCCTCAATCCGAACCCGGAAGAGATTCTCTCAGCAGTCGGGCCATCGCACCTTCTGATTTTGAACAAATTCAGTGTCTATCGACCTAGTTTGCTAGTCATTACAAGGCATTTTGCACCACAGTCAGACGGCCTTGACCGCAACGACTTATCTGCTGCCTGGGCAATCTTGAAGCACTTCAAGCAGCAGTATATGGTGATCTACAATTGCGGCTTCGAATCAGGATCTAGCCAAGGGCATAAGCATATGCAACTTTGGCCATACCCAGACGAGCGGGAGCTGGGCTTCCAGCTTTTCCCAAACACAGTTGAATCGACAGTAAATGTTACTGACAATATACCCAATGTGCCTCACAAACACTTCGTTCTTCGACTTCCAACAGACGTGGACGCAAACATCCTTGTCAAAGCCTACGAAAAGTTGCTCAGAAAAGTTCAACAAAGCCATGAACAAGCCAGCGGAGGCACTGACTACAATGTGATCCTGGTCAAGGAGTGGATGTGCCTGATTCCCCGCCGGCACAGTGGCCTTGAGAGAGGAGCAGGCGCAAACTCTGCGGCTATGCTGGGCCTCGTATGGATTGCTATTGAAGCCGAAAAGGACATATGGAATTCTTCAGGGCCGGCGGAATATCTCAAATATCTTGGCATCCCAAGATAGCCTTCTACCTTGAACTTGGTCGGATCACAGGCGTCAAGATGGAGACGATAGACTTAGACAAAACTTATAGAATAGAATGACTAACTCACTTTGCCTCCACCTGCCCAGTTTTAGAGACAGCCACACAGACACAACACTAGCGGATAGCCCCAGTCAATTACTCGCAAACCATCGACGATATTACTGTGTTCTAGATTTAGCCGATGCAGTCAGTAATAAAAGGCGGCGAGTCGGATACCACGATTCACATGGTAAGTTTTGGGCGGATGTTTGTTTCTCCGTCGTCCGGTCCATGTTCCATAAACTCGACTTTTAGTCGGTCCATCCACAGCCACTCGACATCCTCAACATCAAAGCACTCGAGGACTCTTGTCAAATGACTAGACATGGGGAAAGGTCAGATTGCCTCCTCTCGCTCGCCTCAGCATGCTGACGAGCTTCTTCAGGGACCGATAAACTCTACGTATGAGCACTCCGCAAACATCAAGTCGTCAGCCGAGACTAACAATTCTCTACTAGATCACTCACTCCGAATGGGCCTCTTCCGACGCCTACTCAGCCAGCGCAGGCGCCGGCGTGCGTACTGACACCTCCCACCATGCCGCCTTCAAGAGACTGCCCTTCAACTTTTGCGCTCTAAGCCTGCAGCCTTTCAGCACACCCGTCTGCACGCCCGAGGGCATCATATTTGACCACGAGAACATCCTTCGCTGGCTGCTGAAACATGACACGAACCCGACGAATGGGAAGCCCCTGAAACAGCAGGACCTCATAAAGCTGAACTTTGCGAAGAATGACAGCGATGAATATGTCGACCCAGTCACATTCAAAGTGTTTACGGACAATACTCACATCGTTGCGGTCCGTCATGGCGATTCGGCGAATGTATTCGCATACGACACCGTCGAGCGATTGAATATCAAGGCCAAGATGTGGCGCGACTTAGTCTCGGACGAGGAGTTCTCAAGAAAGGATATGATCTCGTTGCAGGATCCGCAGAACATTGAGTCACGCAACCTGAGCTCGTTCAAGTACTTGAAAGATGGGGAAGATTCAGGAATCCCTAAGGAGGAAGCGTCGATCAACACAGCTAGTTTGGGTAGTGCCGCGGACCTGAAAATAATGAAGGCGAAACAGGCGGTCGCGAAAGCCAGAGCGGAGCGAGCGAATGTGCCGTTACAAGAGGACAAATCCCTGTCAACATCGATGTCGAGGAACCCCGTTAAGAAGACTACCTCCACAGCGCAGTCATCGAAACCAGCACCTTACAATGCGACCCGGCACACAACCGGCCAAGCCGCAGCCTCCTTCACCTCCACCGGCCTCACACCGCACACCTCCAACGCTCTGGCGACGATGACTGACGAAGAATACATTCTAAAACCCCGGCGCGTCAAACACAAAGGTTATGTCAGGCTTTCCACCACCCTCGGGCCCCTGACGTTGGAACTCAACCCCGAATACGCGCCCAAAGCGGTGTGGAACTTCATCAAACTCGCGCAGAAAGGTTACTACAACGGGATCATCTTCCACCGCAACATCCGCAACTTCATGATCCAGTCTGGAGACCCGACGGGGACAGGGCGAGGAGGGACAAGCATATGGAGCAAACCCTTCAATGACGAGCTCGAGGGGCCCCTGAAGCACGATAAGAGGGGCGTGCTGAGCATGGCGAACAAAGGTAAGAACACAAACAGTTCGCAATTCTTCATTACATATCGGCCCGCGGGCCACCTGGACCACAAACACACCATCTTCGGACGTGTCGTGGAGAATGACGATAATCAATCGATGGAAACGCTCAAACGACTCGAAAACGCGCCCGTGGACAGCAGCGATCGGCCCAAGGAGGAAATAAAGATCCTTGATGCGGTTGTGCTGATTGATCCGTTCGAGGAGTTTTGGAAGCAGAAGAACGAGGCCGAGCAGGGCGAGAAGGAGAAATCGGAAAGAAGGGCTGAAAGAGGTCTAGGAAGAGGTGGTGGTGGTGTGGACGAAGACCGCACGACGTGGACGGGGAAGAGGATACGAGATGACGGCACGGTCGATTCGGGCAGTGCACCCGGACAGGTCGGGAAGTATCTCAGGGCCTCTGAGTTGGTGAAGCAAGGCAAAAGCAACGACAACGAAGAGGAGGACGAGATTATCGAGTTCGTCGATAATGTGCCTGAGGAACCAGTGCGGAAAAAGCTGAAAGGGGGAGTGAGAGGCGGGTTTGGGAATTTCGATTCATGGTGAGATACTATCTATCTCTAGGTGCATGAGATTGGAAACGCCCCATTAACCTACCTTGTAACTGTAATCAAATATCCTACCCGACAACGAACAACCCTTATTGAGCCATTTTTTTGGTGTTTATCACCCCCTCTCTTCTTTTCCTTTGCCCTTTTTGCGTACCCCGTACATTGTCACGAACTTACCTTCTTCAAAGCCGACTTCACCGTTCCTCCTCGCATCGACTCTTATCCTCTACGTTTCCTGTGGAAAGTTCTCCAAAGGAGACGAGGCATGATTGATAATGGCCCCTATGGACAGGACCGTCGGCGCAAGGGTCCTGCCCGGGTTCCAGTTGGCGCAGGTTCCGTACCCGTCATGTCGACATCGAATTCTGCATCTACGGGGTAGATGGGGGAGTCACCTGCTTGGGGAGGACGTAGAGGATCATGAGGAGCACCGCCAGCACCAGCGGCGTCAACATTCCAGGGTGGGATGTCCAACTCACCGTCAGCCCAGCCTTCACAGTCCCTCACAGGCTCAGACCAGCAAGAATCGTCGGGCTGGCAAGTCGACAGCCCTTGCCAATTGGTTGCCCATTCGGCTTGGAGTGTCTTGGCGCGTTGCCACCAGTACTGTCTCACGTCGAGGGGGAGTTCTAGCAGATCAAACAGCTCTTTGAGTGATCGCTTTTTACCCTCTTGGAATAAGTCTGGGTACTTGGACGCTTCCTGAACAATGGTTGTCGTGGCGTCAATGTCGAATGCCGTGTCCTCCCAGAGTTTCTCAGGAGGAATATCCATGACGTGCAATGTAGGTACATTATGCGCCGTTCCCAATACTCCAGATTCTTCGACATTCATACTAGCACGTCCACGAGCACGAGCAGCTTCGATTTTTCGTATAACTGCCTGTGGCTGGGTGCCATCATCTCGTGGAGTCTCCTTCGCTTTACGCTCGGCCGCCCGGGCTAGAGCCGTTACGAAGACGACCCACTGGGAGAGGTCCTCAAAGGCCAGGGTCCCATGATGCTGTCGAAATTCAATAGTGCGCTTGTAAGACCGGTCTAGGTTCTCAACACAGTTGGAGAAGTTGACAAAGCATTCGCGTACAAAGAACTCAGTCTGCATGAAAGGTTTGCCACTTCTGGTAGTCAACAATTCGACCAGTTCGGTGCGGTCGCTAGCTCGGAAAATGCGAAGGAACGCATCTTCGCACAAGAACGCGGGCCCTTGGTTGCAACAATGGCGCGGGAAGTCCCCGGGCGGCCACTTTCCCACGAATCGATTGGTTCCAACGTGGTTGCGAGCATACGAAGCGATGTACCCATGTCTGTGGGGGTGGTGTAGCAAAGTTATCGTATCTTCGAATGCTAGGCAAATGAAGGCGAGATGCTGTAGAAATGCGACAGGTATCTCAACTTGGCCTTGGGGTTGTGGTTGTAAGCCGATGTGAACGTGAATGCCCGCGACTTCTGGACCGGATAGGAAAAAGTAAGGGGCATCTGGTGGGTGGTTCTTTGTTAGTAGTGCCACATAAGCCGCGAGCTCAACGAGCCCGTTGGGTTGAAAGCCAAATGAGTCGAGGTCGGGGACTTTCAGCGCAGGAGAAATGAGCTCCAAACCAGCGAACTGCCAGCCTGCCATGTCTCTGATCTTATCATCGGACCATTCACGCAGCTGGATGGGATGAGCAGGGAATTTAACAGAGCCATCGTGTGACATGTTCCATTTAGAAAACATGTCAAAGGACCCATCACCCTCCTGGGAGAGTTGAATCTTGACCCTGGCCCCATATTCACGCAGAATTTTGACGGCCTGAAGAAGGCCCGTATGGCTCTTATGCTTCGGGTCGTAACCTATAAGATTGTCACGGTTAGCTTCAAGCATACAGTCTTGTGGAAGTAGCATCTCATATGCTGGGTCGGATGAGATGATATTCATGTTGATACCGAAGAGGTGTTCGATCTCAATGCCGAAGGTCAAGGGAAACGCCCCGGCTGAACTGTCAGAGTCGGACATTTTGTAGGGTGTGGCCAATATTGGTTGCGATGTCAGTTTCGAATCGAGTCCTACTCTCACCTTGGTAGCCTCCCTGTTTTGACCCTAATCTTCGACGGGGGGCTCGCTCGAGCTTTAAATAGTATCGAGGACCAACAAAGGGGCGAGGATTGGAGGCATTAGAAGACAAGGGGCTTTATCTTAATAGTGATGTGCATATCAGCAGACAAAGCGGAGGGAATTGAGTCAAAGGAGGTGAAGAGTCCGTGGTGGTTGTTTGTTTCGCCTGGAGGAGGCACTGTTCGCTGCGAACAAAGATCCATGGTATGAGGAGAAGGAAGCGATAGACGAGTCGGCAAGCGGTGGCAGTGAGTAGCCGTAGCGGTGGCGATAATGGTAACATCAGTAGTGGTGATGGAAGAAGTGAAAGAAGGAGAGTACAGGGTTAAGAGAGTAAGTGAAGCGGGAGCTGGGGGGAGAAGCGGGATATTTTGAGATCTCACTTCACTTCCATCTCACTTGCATCTCACTTTTTACTCACTTAATCCCCCACCTGGCACCCTTTGCCCGTGGCTGGCTGGGGCCCCTTTACACCATCCTCCCATAAGGTTCACCGTGCGCAAATCAGAACATAAGCACCTCGATTCCACGTTCAGGCTGCCGTGGCTGCCCTGCGGCTGAAGCACCCTAAAGGCTGAGATGCATAGTTCCAGAAGCCGTGAACAAGAATATAATATTACTCCGTCTTTATTTGACCTGCCTACCCGCCGCCATTTCTACTCCATTCTCCACGCCCATCACAACTACTCAAGCGACTTCGTTGGTGGCCCCAGTGGTCAATCTTTGGGGGCGGCCAGTTGCCTCCCTTAATCGCCGACGCTTACCTCGTATCCCTCCGCCAAAACAAAGTTGATTGAAATCCGGGGGGGCGGCGACGACGACGCTCTTCTTTCACAATTGTTGCTGCCGGTGTCAACATCTTCTGCTCTTGTGCAACGACATATTGCGCGGGCTGTGGGGGTGATTGCTGTCTGTACAAAGCAAAGTGCCAGAACTCGGTGTCTTCGAAAGTCGGTCCATTCGTTTGCAGCGCTCGGACTCCGCTCGCTCGGACTCGACTGGCATCCTACAGGGCCATACAGCAATATCTCTCTTTCACTGCAAACGAGTCCCCTGTCCAGCGCACTCTCGACAGAGCACTACCTACCCGACATAAATCCGGCGTTGAACGACAAACCATGTCTTTCATGCAAACAACCTTCAAATCTGGCTGGATCACCGACCTCCTCCTACCCGCCCCGCCAGAGGGAAAGTCGCCCCAAGATGTGCTGGAGGCCGGCTTTGATCTGGCCCTCAAGATGTGCTCGGACCCGGTTCTGATGGCCCGGCTGAACCCACTGATCACGAACGTGGTCAACATCCCCGCCTCGGACCCAAAGGCGGTCGACTACATGGCTCTCTCCAGAGACTTCAAAGTCGATCTGAATGCTGAGTACGCGACCGAGGACTTCCAGCACTACGCCATCACGGACAAACTCAACGTGCTCCCGGGCTACAGTACCGACTTGACGTATTACAGCGCGATCCGTCGCACCAAGGACGGCATGGAGGCGCTGACGAATCCGGGCTCCGGGGTGACCATCTACGGCCGTTTCAGCATCCGGGTGGCCGAGCCGCGCGACGTCAAGGCCCTGGACGCAAGCGACGGCCGCGGCTGGATCGTCAACTTCTACGAGACCAACGAGTTGAGATGCAACAAAATGCTGAGCTACTACATCCGCGCCACGACGGACAAGTCGCACAGGTTGGCCCACGGGCGGTTCAAGGAGATGTGGTACCAGAGGATGAAGGAACTGGGCTATCCTGCTACGCCGTGACATGACGGGTTCCGGTTTCGAGGCGTCCGACTGCTCAGTTTGTCTCATTTTGATCGTTTGTATTTTTCAGGAAGGCGGGGAGTTGATGGTTTATCGCTGCTAAGGTTTCGGCCGGAGAAAATGCAACAACATGGATCAAGACCGAGGAAGATAGGATGAGCATTGCGTCTGTGGGGAAATGGGCGAAACATTAATATACGATGTCAAAGAAACGTTCGCGCGCGTGCGAGAGAAGGAGACACAGAGAGTGTATATAAGAACCCCGGCGTCGCAGCCGCACACGGAAGATGTGCCGAAAGGGACTAGGAGAGGGGGAGGGGGGATCAGGGACTGTTGATCACGGACTCGCCAGTACAAAGAGAAGAGAAACGGCGAGAGAATGGGACAGGATGGGAGGGGAGGAGACGGGAAGAGACGAGAGGAGAGACACAGAAAACCCGCAGACATTCGTCTCACCCTACATCGCCCAAATCGCCTCGCCTCGTCGCACATTACGATGTTATGCCATGTTATACTATGCTATGCTATGTTATGCTCTATAATTCGAACGAAATAAAACACGTGAAAAAGAATATTACAGACGCAAGGCTCATAGACCTGTCAATTAATTAATCGAGTCGCCCTCTGATCTGATTGACGGGTTAAGATAGGCAGTTTATTTATTATCTGTTTAATCCGATTTCTAGTAGTCATGGCCTCTGACACATGACTTCTTTATTTATTTAATTTTATTGTCTTACGGATTTTCGAGAGAAAAGGGCGGTGGTCAAAGATTCCGATAATGAGAGAAATGATATATTCCTATATTCATACAGTCGAACGGGTCTGGGAGCGAATGACGGCTCGAGCAAAGCTGTCGATGGAAGCGCTTCCGTTGGAGCAAAGACTCGTTGAAGAAGCAAATCCCGTCCTGTCTGGCAGGCGCTGAAAAAGTAAGAAAAGATGAACAATGTCTTCACCAAAGCAAAAGCAATCCACTTTATGCCCCTCCCATATGCTTTTGGCCCATCGCTTGAACGCAGCAACGAATAGATAACAGACATAGATGACTTCCTCCAGCTCTCGTGCGTCCTTCGAACCCCAACCAAGAAGCACCGCCGTATACTCTGCCTCAGCCTGAGGCGCCCACCACATACTTGACGGGGACAACCCACTCCGTCCCAAAATCTGTCCCGTGCTTCCTGCGAGACCCGTGCTTCTGCCACGCCGCAGCCGTTATGCCAATGTCAGCTACCCAGACCTGCCACGTAGGCTCCACGCCTCCATCCAGAGCCATGCCATGTGCCAGACCCGTCTTCGGTGCCCCCAGGCTGACGATATGCTTACTGTTCATAACGAGCGGCTGCCCATCGACTTCCGTCAATAGCCCTGAAGTGGCAGATAAGCCGCTAGGCACATCAATGGAGAGGACGAGAGAGCTGCGATTGGCCCAACGAATCATCTCCAAGACAGTTGCTTGATCATCCGTCCGCAGTTCTTCGAATGTGGCGTGCACTCCAAGCAGAGCATCCACAACCACATCGGGGGTAGGGCCGCCTGCACTGGCTTTGGTTTGATATTCATCCCAGCGATCCACGTACCCTTGGCCCTTCTTGTAAATGCTGAGCTGCTTTCTCATCACCTCCAGAAGAAGTTCTTCACGCTCGCCCCCAAGGATGACAATGGTAACCCTAAGCCTTCGGTTTCGCAGATGTCTGGCTGCGGAGATGGCTCTAGCACCGGATTTGTGGTTGCCCACTAGAAACACCACACTTCTAACCTCGGGAATCTTGAACACCGCCATTGCTATACTCCGTCCTGCATTCTCCGAGAGCATGTCTTCGGTGAGGCCAAGTTCCGAAGTGCAGAGTTGCTCAATCTCAAGCATCTGCAGTGGTGACAGGCAATGACAGGGCTTGTTGTTGAGAAGTTTAAAGGTCCCACGGATGCCAGACACTGATCCATTGAGGGGCGACGAGGTCTGGATCCGCGTCAAAGGCCGTGGCGATTCTGTTCGATCAATGTGTGGGGGTATGACACTGCCCTTTCTCGAACCAAGCGGCCGTCGAGAGCCGGCTCTCTTAGACCCTCGGCCGCTGCTATAATGGCCCTCTCCCCCGATCGACTCATCTTCGGTTTCCCCAGCTTCGCTCTTCCACCTATCCTTGTCCTTTCCATCTGGGGCGTCCAGAACATTTTCGGTGAAGTGCAGGTTTCGGCCGCCATTGGTACCAGGTCGAGCCCTGCGATTGAAGCTCACAAGCCGGTCAGCTTCCGCCGTGGTGTCTGCTTGCCGGATGTCGTCAAAGACACGCCGCTTGTCGAATTTAGATAGATTTGATTCAAAGTCAAAATCACCCATATCCTGGATGTCCGTGGCATCTTCGGTAGCCCAGCCATTTATCTCTTCGGCGGTTTTCCGACCCCTCTGACCCTTCTTTCTAGGTTGTCGAGGTACTTCCTCTACAAATGGAGTCTGGCGCCAGCCCTTGCCTTTTCCTGCTTTCTTCTGACCTTTTAGAGGGCCGTTATTGATATCTTTCATGTCAATGATGCCTGGGCCGGTTTGTGACGCTACGTGTTGCGTCTTCTGTTGATTGGTGGCCGCTGGCGTCGAATTTGGACCGGCAACATTGTTCCCCAGACTCAACGCATCAAATGGCTCTGTAAGAGTGGCACTGGCTGGAGTGTCCCTTTTCTCAGCCATTTTAGGAACAGCCGTAGCGATACTAGATACGGAACTGTTGCCCATGTTGCCGTTGCGTGGCCAGCGCATAGACGGGCTGCTCACAACCCCATCAGCAATCATGATCGGAGACACTGGCTGCGGTTGCTGAATGACTGCCGGCACTGTGGCAATTTTGGCTGGCGGTTTTGTGTAGCTGATGATGGCGGGGTCGACGAACGCGGGCGCATTTTGTTGCTGTCTCAGGGCTGAGGCGAACAGAGGTTTCTGGGGTTCGGCAACAACAGGGGCGACTGGTGTAGTCAATTCCTCCTCTTCGACGGTGGATGGTTGGGAAGGTGACACTTCGAGGTCTGCGATGGCGGAGGACTCAATGGCGTATGAGGGGAGCCGCTGGCCATTCCATAGCAGTACTGCAGCGCAGGGTCAGCAGAGCGAGCCGGAACGAGGCTAGAGCCTACCATTGTGCAAGAAGAGCTTCTGATTGACGACATTGGCCACGACACCCTGGACCTGGGCATGCGGAGGATTCTGGAGCGTGACCAAGATGGTGTAGCCGACAAAGTCGGATGCCATGGTAAGGGGAGCAAAGGAGTGCCGCAGATGGAGCGAAACAGATCTAGATGTCCATGCTGTTCGAGATGGCGTAAGGTAAGTAGGACAAGTACAAGATCTGAAGTGATGAGAGGTTGACGTCCTTGGGCACCTGCGAGGATCGAGGACGTTGTTGCTGAGTGAGTGCCTTGTCAGTGCAATCAATGCCTGACGACTCGAGTCTGTGCTTGCCGAAAAGTCAAGTTGGGTGTTTCCTCTTTCGTCATCATCTCACACGAGCATCCATCATACCCAGTACGGGTCGTCGATGGTCAATAGTCAATAGTCCATAGTCTGCACATCGGAGGTTCATTATTGACTGTCATAGACTGTGCTCTACCTCTAATATCTACAGACTTGTTCATGTCAGTGCAATGGCCCTCTGGGTCACAACTAGAAGTCTGTCTCAGCACGTTCCGGTCCACATCGTCTTGGGGTGCTCGCTCAGTAATTACTGGCCTCGCTGGGTACGTCGACTTCTCTCCACATTGCCCTGCCCACTTCGCTACATCGCGCCGGCTCTCAACATCTGCTTTTCAGCCTCGAGCATCTCCTCGACCGTAAACTCATCTCCAAAGTCATCCTCGTCTATCGACTCTTTCTTGACGCCCTTCTTCCCCAACGTCTCGTGACCAGAGAGCTTGGAATAAAACTGCAACACCTTCTGATGCACCATGACTTTCCGTTCGTCAAACCGAAGCACCTGTAACCCTTCCTTTGTTCGCGCTCGACTCAATGCCACATAGGCTTGGCCTTTTTCAAAAACCTTGCCGAGATCCACTTTGACTCGAGTAAGTGTCTGGCCCTGAGCTTTGTGAATCGATAGAGCCCATGCGAGAATTAGAGGGACTTGAACGCGTTTCGCAAGGACTTCGCCGCTCTGGGATTCTGTCTTCCACTCATCCGGGCAGCAAAGCATACTTCTTGAAGTTCCGTCTGGTAGATTGAATCTAACCATGGGCCACAACCTTCTAGGCTCGCTGCCTGTGGTCGAGTTCTTCAATCTAGCTTCCCGAATCTTCTCACGCGCCGCCTTTACCTCACTGTCATCGCCGCCGTCATCGGGCTCGTGCGCTAGGAGAAAAGTAGGTTCATCATCCTTGTAGGTGAAGAACGTACCTTCATCCATGAAGGATTGGACGATTCCAAGGGACCCGTTGACAAGCTGCCCGTCAATATTCTTGATCAGCATGACTTGCGCGCCTTTCTTCAGCTCCAACACCTCAGGAGCGATAAAGTTGTTGAGCAACGCCTTTCGCGTGTTAGGCTCGGCGATGCCCGAATCAACAGCGTTGAAGGTCATGATTTGGCCAGACAGTTTTCGCATGCGATTCTGGTTGGCATTTTCGACTTCCTCACGGCGCGGATACCTGTGCATTATTAGTGTGCTGCCCTTTTGCGGAGTGAAAAACTTACAGCTCAGTCGCCTCAAGCTCATCACGAAAATCCAAGGGTCTGGAAAGTGACTTGAATTCTCGGATAGTAGCAGGACTCATCTTGCCTAACCGCATTTCATTGAGCATCTTTGCAAATTGTTCGTCCTTTTGGCGGAAGACATGGGTCAACAGAATCGTATGTTGAATGCAGGTGTTCCACGTTACTGCTTCGAAGACAAACTTGGCCGAAGAATTCTTGTCGGGCACAGGGGGAAGTTGGAAAAAGTCTCCAGTGACAACCAACTGGATACCGCCGAATGGACGACCGTTGTTTCGAATGGTACGCGCCACTTGCTCGAGCTTATCAAAAAGTTGACCGTCAACCATGGATACTTCGTCAATGATGAGAACCTTGGTCCGGAGCCATTTCTGTCTCGATTTCTGGTTGCGTTTGATTTTTTTGACCAGTTCAGGCGCAGGCTCCTTTCCAAGCCCAATGCCCGACCAACTGTGTAGCGTCTGTCCCTCTAAGATGCACGATGCCAAGCCTGTCGACGCCGTGATTGCAATCCGATCAGGGTCTTTCCTGTATTTGTGCTTCAACTTGGAAATTATCGCCCTCATAAGAACCGATTTTCCTGTACCAGCAGACCCGGTGAAGAACACGCTCTTGCCTTCGTCAATTACTGCCTTCATAACAGCCTTCTGCTCGTCACTTAAGAAAGGTTCCGGGACGATTCTGTCAAACGTTGCCGTTCCTGGTTCAGCAGGCTCCGCGGACGATGGAGTCGTGCGGTCAGACGAGGATCTTGAAAGTGACGCATTTGTTCGATGACGGGCAAATGACGGTTTGTGTAACATGTCCGACATTGCTAGGGACGCCTTGTCACGGCTGCCTGCTTTCTGGAACTGTTTTGGTGCACTGAATCTATCAAATCTGCTGAAGTCCTTGCCATTGGCATTGGCATTATCTCGCCACTTGCTGCTTTCTTCATCCCGATATGCTGGTGAGACTTGTGACGTGAATGATGCCGGGAGAGCTCTTTTCTTGGCTGGACCCACTGGTCGTGGCTCCGGTATATCTTGTGGCAGTTTCCGTGTGGTTGGGTTTTCATAGTGATGCGCCGGGGATGACGACCACGGGATTTCGGTGCTGCTGGCGGGTGCGGTGGGGGAACCTTTTGGGACTGGAGGGAGTGAGGAATAAGACACAGGATCTATAGAATGAAGATCAGGGTATCGGACGTCAGACTGGTCTTCGACACTGTCGAGGTCGACAAAGTTCGGGGGTACGTTCTCATCGGACCAGGGTTGCTGATGGAGAGATCCCAAGGTGCTCGAGGTGCTCATGCTCCGATCCAGCTTTCTTTTCAGAGAACCCGATGAAGACTCCCGGGGAGCGTTGACCGCAGAGGAATTGAACTGCAAGGGAGATTGTTTCTTCTCGTTGGATGTTAAGGATGCATGTCTGTTTGCTGCCCGGGCAAGCATGATAGCATTGACAAAGGACTTTGGAGATCTCAATGCACTGGTCGGGGAGCGCAGGACAAGAGTGAAGGAGCAGAGTTGCATGAAAAGCTGGGGCGGCAAGGCAGGGAGGAAGCAGCCGTGTGTATAGTGTATAGGAAGGAAGAGCCCGTCATTGGCATCGTTCTTGAAGAGACATCACATTGCCAGGTTGAATTAAGGAAAATAGAGGTAACGCGTAAGGAACCGCCTCGCGACATGTCGCAGGTCGCGTCTTTACACGTTTCTTGGCAGGCACCATAAAGTGACGGCAAGGTCACGTGCTGACTTCACTCGCTTAGCTATGAGGCTCGCGAGGTAACTCGGTACTCAGTACGATATTACATCCTCAACTTTCACACCAGTGACACCTCACTCACCACACTCGCTATAAGGCCCAGATGTGCTAAGTCACGGTTTTCGTTCCCGGGGCCACTGCCTGAGCTTTCTGCTGCACAATTCAATTCCAGCACTGCAACATGCCACAGCAACCCCCGTTCGCCTCCCGAGATGGTTAATGAACGTGTCGACACTGGAAACCAGTCCAAGTAGCCTCGCCTTTGTTGGCAACTAAGCACACGTTACTGGCACCCTGTCTTTTGCATGCCACTCTGTCCCGCTCTCCACCGTGGTACAAGATCCCAAGATGCTCTTCAGCTTCGTTCGTCTTGTCATCATTTTATTTTCTTCATGCGGTTAAACGCAAAGGTCGTAGCAGCCTGCAGTCCCCATATGAAGAACTGATCGCGCCGCTCGCCACCTCTTTGGACCGCTCCTTGTTTCACTTCGAACTCTTTCTCCGCTCGATATTCAGCCTTTGTTGCAGCAGACGTAGCTGTAACCGCGGCTGCGTAGTCTTTTGCCACTTTGGACTCGTATATAGATACAGCGACACGAGAGCCGAGTCCAACACTCTTGTCACCACATCTGCGGTTGACGTGCTGTTGAGAATTGCGATGGGTGCGACAGAACCCGCTAGCCGACTAGCAGGTGGACATGGAGACGGAGGTGGAGGCGGTACACCTGGATCGCTCGGCGTCTGATCCTATCTGAGGCGCTGGACTGCTTGACGAAAGCCTTGTGCATAGACTGGCTCGGCGATCACCTCAGTTCTTGATAGGAAGCACATTTCTCGATCAGCCTAAGGTCGAGCTCACTGTAAAGCACTAGTTGCTCCAATGTAGCCGAATCCGTCGGCTCTTCAACCTCAAAATGGTCGGTATATTCTTGAGTCATGATTGGAGACAGCTGCTAAGTTCTAAGCTCTAGGCCTGGAAATATTGAAGATGAAAATCACGAAAATGGCGCATTGCGCCGTTTTACCAGATTCCGCCAACGCCTTTCAGCTGCTAGGAAAGCGTTGGAGTCGGTGGGAGATAGCAAGCTAGTGGCTAGATACTCGGCTGCCCTGCACCCGTGACAATATCTGTACGAGGCAGGTATGTTCTAGATCCAAGCAACATCTCCGGTGGACTAGGTCATATGCACGGCTTCCAATGTGGATTACCACCTCAGCTTCAGCCTGATGTGAACCTTCCTTGGGGCGCATCTTCAGCCTAGCTATTCATTGAGACTTCGAGTACGGCTGTCGACATTTTCAACCCTCAGAATTGTCTCGCCTCACAATGACGTTGAGAAACGTGACTCGTAAGAGTCCCGACCATGGCGGCCCAGCGGAGGAGGCGCAAAGCGGCCTCGGTGACAACATTGATCCTGTTCTGGGCCTCATAGCCACTGGGAACGCTACCTTTGTCGATCACATTACTGGCTCAAAGTTCGACGTCGGTTCGACCATGAGTACTTCACGACCTCGGCCAGGTGTGCAATCACAACTATCAGAGGCACCGAGATCGTTTTCGTCGAAACTCCCGGGTTCGAAGACCCTGACAAATCAGACACCGAAGTCCAACGCGGACGTTGAAAATTCAGCCTTCCAGATATCACGTCAACCTAAAAATCATCGTCGATTGTCCACCAACTACTCGGTATTGTCTTTTGCAAATAGGAGTAGTTATGGACGTGCCAGACACTGAGCACCTCAAGACAAAATTAACTTTCTATTGGCTCCGGATTTGGAATCCGTTAAAAGAGCCCCACAAATACACAGTACCCCTGGGCTAGCCTCGCTAGCCTCGTTGCAAGTACCGAGTACGTTTCAGTCGTATCCATCATGGGAATATCGTATCATATATTTCGGTGTTACGATCACGTTTCTCTGTGACAACGCCAAGACGCCGTACCTTTCAATCACTCTCTAACAATCCCGTCTCCCGCATAGACAAGGCCGGACGAGAGGAGGCGCGGGTTGGGAAGGACTTCCACTACATAATCTTTACTACCGTCTGCAACATCCGGCTCGAACTCCATTCTGGATACATTGGAGGCATCAATATTGATTTCATGGCGGCATGAAGGGCTTTTCCATATTTGTCCAAACTTTGCATGCCACCTCAAAGCCCTACCAGAGAGATAATGGATCTGTAATCCCTTCAATTTCTTTTCGGCGCGACTACTCCGAAAACTGTCGGAAAGGATCCCTCAGTTTATCCAAGGGTGCTGCCATCAGTCCCGCCACCGTCTCGAATGGAGGCTTGTCTAGGGCCGAAGGGTGGCTACGTGTGGAGCCGAACATCTTCGTCCTTCCGAAACTGCTCGCCATAGACTGCGAATCACCCTCTGCCGAGGTCTTCTCGAGAGCCGGAAGATTGTGGAAAACTTCTCCCTGGACGTGCTGTATTAGCTCGGACCAGAGCGACATGATGGTCAGTTCAAAGCTTTGGTCCGACGGCGAGAGTTTCTGGGACTTGTACAAGAGTTCTTTGACCTATATTTTCGCGTTACCTTTTGGTCAAAGTCTGAGATTATGCTGGATTTTGTTAAATGCGACCTACCTTGAGGTTCTCTTTGCGATCCTTGTTAGCCATCTCCTTACCCCCTTGATCCAGATGCCGCTCCGTGGCCGGATAGACGACGAGCTCCTCTCCGAGCGAGTGTGGGGCGAATTCACACGTGAACTGGTTCTGCCAATGTATCTTGGAGTCAGTGTCCTGTGCACCGAGGATGTTTTCGTAGTGTTCCTTCAACTCGGCATAATCATGTTTAATGGCATTCAAAACCGTAGAGGTATTGGCCACAGACATGTTCGCCGTAGCAGCATCGACAGAGCGGGGAGTATCACGTCGAAAGAGTCGCTGAGGAATGAATGCGAATCCTCCTGGCAGAGCCGGACGAGAGGAACGGGAACAGACAACCAAGACCCTTTCAAACAGAGGGCGAGTACTAGTAGCTGACATTATAAGACTTCAGGTTTCCAGGATAGATTACTATTTCACGATGGTCAGTTTGGAACCAGGCGAGGAAGGACAAGTGTATTTCATTTATCGTTTTCCTTTTTTGGATAATTGGACTGACTGCATATGTGCTTGTTATGACGATGAAGCCATCCGCATCAGTATCCGCTTGAGCAGCACATGGTGCCCGTGACAACAATACGATTAACAACTTGGAGCCTCTGAAGGATTCCAACCTCGACCGATTAGGCTTTACTCCTTTGTAATCCTTATGTTGTGATGTAATACGCGTCCCAGCTCGAGCTTGACAACGTTGACAATACCGGTCGATGGCCAGTTGTCAAGGTTCAAGGCTGATCAATCGTATCGGAAGTCACGTCAGACCTGTAACATCTTGATAGGAACTGTGACCTGTCCGACTAATGAAGTTAGACCCTGCTTAACAAATTATGAGATCTCGCCTTTACAAACTATCTGTGAATACGGTAGGATGCGAAATATGGCCGTTGATCCAGTACACCCCAGAAACTTCGTTACTGGGAGGCAGTGGAGATCACTGAGGGCGGCATCACCCTCGAAACATATCATAGGTGAGCTATGTTTTCCCTTGGAACAACGAGGCTTGGAAAATTGTCAGGGTTCAGAAGATACCAATATCTCCAGTATGTCTTAGGGGGGCAACTGTCCCTCGTTCTGTTTTCTTGCGGCCACTGTTAAGGTCTCCAACTGCTTCTGGAACTTCTTCATGATGCCGTTGACCGTCTGCAAATCGTCCCTCTTCAGATTTCTATGCTGGGTGCGGCTGCGTGCTAGTAAGTATGCCGAGGACACGATGTTGCGGATCTGGCGACCGTTGACCTCCGCCTCGCACCCCACCCATCTGATCCAATCGTCAATGCCATCGGTGTCCACCTTGCCCTCAGCGATGAGCTGGCTCAGGAAGATGTTGTAGATCTTGATCTTTTGCTCCCTGGTCAAGTCGGTATACCGGATCGCGAGGTGGATGCGCGACTGGACGGCGATATCAAGAGAGGTGATGCGATTGGTCGTCAGGATCATGACTCCTTCGAAATACTCCAGCACTCGGAGCAGAACTGATGTTTTATATCAGCGATGGCGGCATTTGGTCTCGCGGGGAGTATCACTTGCCTGAGACTAAGGCGTTTCTGTTGGTATCACCCATGACGAAACGCGATTCGAGAAAGACGTCCGCTTCGTCACTAACGATGTCTCAGTATCAGTAGAACAGAGAGTCCTAGGTTGCTCCCGGAGCCTTACATCAAAAGGATCGCCTCCCACGCTCCGGCGAGATAGAATATCTGCTCCAGGCTTTTCTCTGCCTTTGACGCTTCCAAACCGATTTCAGCGACGGTGACGACCAAAAGTGGTTTGCCCGTGGCCTCAGCAATGGTTTCTGCAGTAAGCTGCTCACTGGAGTCAGACAACCTAGTCATTCGGGTTCTCTTCTCCACAAAAGAAAATCTGATATTTAGGGGCATGAAGCGAGCCCCAATCTCACTCTTGAAGCCAACCGAGTTCCACATACTTACAGTCTTGCCAACACCGGGAGGACCTAGGAAATAATTGTTAGTAGATATCTCGTTTATCGGCCCTGGGCCCGATGATGGATTTTACCATGCAATAGTATAACAAGATTTTTGCCCTTGCTCTCTATAATATCGTTCACCTGGGCTTGACTTGCGTCTTTGCTACTTTCGTGATTTTCTACCAGCGCCTTGATCATGTTCTTGTCATTTCGATCCAATTCGAGTTTGTCCTCAAACGCGGTGGAGAGGTCAGTCGGCACGGCCGTCGTGTCTTGGACCTTGAACTGGGCCCACATCTTCTGTTGGGTTGCATATCCAAGAATCCGGGGTGGATATAGGAGACACTGGTGCTCGTCTCCTCCGACACCCTGCTCGTCGTGGGGATGACTGAAAGGTTCGACGTCTGTGGGCTCATACTTTCCCAGTAATGGAATGCCAGGGCCTGTCACATCTGTCAGCTATCTCTCCGCAGTACCCACAACCGCAAACTTGCATACCAAACTGCAAATAGGCAGCTGCATCGACAATATATCGTCCCTTGACCTAAATCGGAGAGACTGACATCAGCAATCCACCGTTTCAACCGAAAAGGAATGGAAGCGTGCCTTGAACGTTTTGTGGATGAGATACTCTGCAGCTAATGACAAGTCTGCCTCATCTTTCATAGACAGGGAAGGCGTTTTGCTTTCAGCATCAGGCTAATGGCATAGGATGTCAGTAAGAGATTCTTCAATGCGGCATCCTTGAACGTTATGCCTTACACTCGTCCTGGCGAGGCTCCTCCTGCTAGAAAGTGCTTGACCGTCGTATTCAAACATTTGTTTGGCCCCTGTTGTTTTGCATAGCTCGAGAAACCATTGACCTCTCTTCACCAGCTCGTTGCGGAGGGATTGGTCGAAATTCCCGTTTTCATCTCTATAGAACTCCAAGGGATAGCAGAAAAGGGAGCTGATCTCCTTGGTGCCTCTGAATCTCTCGAGAGGGAACTCAAAGGTGACTCTCACTATCTCTTTACCGTTCCAATCGTAACCCCAGCATTCGATGTTCAGCCTCCGGTCTTCCCACGGATCTGGAGATGTCTTCACCTCAAACACCTGAGGTAGATTCATAAAGGGCCTCGCCACGACCAACGTCCCGGGGCGAAACAACGTCCAGATAGTCTGGTAAGTGATAGTGTGGGACTCCAGGTTTGACTCCCGAGTTTTGAAGTAGGACTCCAGCTCAGTACATGTAGATATGCACTCGAGGAGATTGCTGAGATCTTTCCTGGCTGCTTTGGTTCCGAGGCTGTCTTTGACGTCTGTTTCTCTGCTTGCACGAGAGAGCTCTTTCCAGTAATGAACAACAGGCGCAAAGGGAGCTATCAAATTGATAGTATTTCCTTCCCAACTTTGGCCCGGGTATGAGTCTCCGATCACCTTTTTCAGCAGGCCACGAAGTTCCCGAGACTCGATATCCACCTCGGAATACTTGAATTTCTTCTCATCAGTGAGATCCATCACTCTGCGGAAAGTGAACGCTCGTTTGGACGTCGGGGCTTTTCCTTCAAGCTCATTCCAGCGACCAATTTCCATATCCCTGCGGCCTCCACTTCTACCATCCCATCTGCTCATGACATATGCATACCTTGAAACTTCGGGAGGGTCGGGGTTCTAGGTGAAAGTGGCGTGAGTCACAAAACGCTATCCACCAGCGTGACAAGATCGTGGTGAGATGCAAGAACAAACCATTTGTTGTTCAGACCTTCCTTCAGCTTTGGCTAGCAAAGGCTTTCCGTCGGTGGTGTTTTCTCCTCTATTGACCCTTGACGGCGTGATGTCCGACCTATCACTCTGCTTTCTTTGTAGCCGAGCTTGAAGTTCCTAGTTAAAAGAAAGGCTATCAACGCAAGTCCGTTTCCACATAGGTGAAGCAGTCCTCCAACCTTTTCCGCATTGTGCGAATCAACGAGGGTTTGCAGGTACTCGACGCGTTTTTCGAGAAGGCTGATGTATCTCTGTTCTAGCTCTTCCTTTCGAGACTGCGTTGAAATCGCTTTTACGCCTGGTACTGAGGCGTCTTGTGCCAGAGTGGCAGAGAGCGGCGCGGCGACAGGATCCTTTTGCCGTCATTATCAGCCTGATGGCCCCTTCGGCAGACCTGTGGTACCTGGGATGTTTTGCCAGATGTGTTTGGGGCCATTTCCCTCTGAGCTGCGGTTATGAATTTGGGGATAATTGAAGGCGATGATTCTCCAAGTGACGCGTTAAAGGACGCCGAGATAACTAAACCAAATCCTCGAGATGAAACGAAGCTTGAGCAGCCCAGAAGGATGTCCCAAAAGATCCACGATCTTCTTTGGGCGATGCTCAAAGGCCAGAAGGATTGCGCCTTTCTGTGCTGGACCCGGAATCCACTAAGCTCACCCCAAGGCAAGAAGGCTGATTATTCGACAGCTGCTGCAGGTTCATGATGCATCTCGGCTGTCCTCAGAGGTTGGCGTGCATGAGGTAGGAACTGCGTTGTTCTTCAGTCATTGACCAGAAGCACGATGGGAAGACCACCAATCTCAAAGGAGCTCGATGTACGTAAAACGGACATACTCCGTTGAGTCTGGCGGCAGCAAAGAAAGTGTGAGCCGTTCCAAGCCACATTCTTGCTGCCTTGATAGGATGGCCAATGGTAATGGAACACATTTCCTGTTGATGCCCACACCAGGGCGTCGTCACGTCCCTTGACAGTTTTTTCCCTTCGCAACACGCTTGGGGTCATCGACTTCTTGAGAGATCGTGAGGCACCCAATGATGCGTGGATGGGATTGCCCAGCCTGGTGGGCAAATGCTGCATAAGATGAGGATTGCTGGCAGCTGAAAAAGAAGACCACAGCGTGCATCTGTACTGGCACCATGCAGCTGGTCAGGATCGCATGTCCTTTCGTGGCCAACAATCATGTATGAAGATGGCACCGTTAGTCGTATTTCCATGACTTCAAGACTGTCGGCATCGAGGCTGAAGAGGAACTGGTTTCGAAGGGAGAGTCAGAGCGACCTTGCGACGTAAGTCTTCACCACAAGTCATGGTGACGGATGAGACTTATTTGGATCTCCTCCGCTATAGTCAGAACTTGGAACCTGCGGTTTCAGTCTTTGAAGATGATACTGTCTTCAAGCAGAGCCTCGATGCCCAACTCGTCGCCCAGATGAAATTTACGAGGGAAGACGTCGAGAGACAGATAGAGGATGCGAATACAGCGTACATAAACTGGCTACAGGGACGACGGAACGGCTCGAGACGATTTGGGACCGCGTTCCAGGCATTTGTGACCCGGTTCTCCAACTTTCTGACAGCGTACTCAGGCATCGTGGATGTGGTCAAAAATGCAAGCTCTCCATATGGAAATTTGGCATATGGAACGCTCTCGCTCCTCTTGATTGTGAATGACGACCCTTGCTGTTTCAGGTTCTGAAGGTTAATATATTTTCAAGGTTGTGGTCAACAAGACTGGAAACGACGAAAAGATTGCAAAGGCATTGGCTGAGCTGCAAAACTCATTCCCGCGACTGAACCTCCTGTCCGACATCTACCCAGAGGCGCAGATGGAGAGGTTGGTGGCCGAAGCATACAGGGATGTGATTGTCTTTGCCAGAAATGCCGTGCTTTACTACATGAGTACCTCCCGTAGGTGGCTCCTGTCGTTGCCTTGTTCTCGGTGGCCAAAGATCTCTGACACCGTGCTCCCAGTGAGAATGCTCGCAGCTGGAGTTCCACAGCAAGAGCTTGACTTCATCAAGTCAATTGAAACTCTTCGCCACAAGCTCGTGGAAGTCAATCTCGAAAGTACCGTTCTCCTCCACAGCAGGGCTAAATATATTGAAATGCAGAACGAAGAATTGCTGAGGGGAAATGAGAAACTGCACCAAAAAATGAAATCCCTAGAAGATCTCAACATCGAGTTACGATCAGAGATCGACCGTATGCACCCTTCACACCCACCAAGTCGTCTTCTAGAACTAATCGCCGTTTGGGGTTTTAGGAATGAGCAGAACCCTCCGGGAGGAACAGGTGCAACGAGACCAGAAGGAATTGGTCAACTTTCGCGAGCTGGTCGGTGTGCCGGAGTCATGCGATCACACAAACATACAGTCCTGCAAGCGCAACCTTGGAGGAGCATTCCCTGCGCTGGTGGGTGGAAAACCCGGTAAAATTGCTCGCTGGTATTCGCAAATGACCCTAGATGTTCTGGATAACGAAGAATCTTACCATGTTTGGCTGGACTGCACCCACTCCTGCCTTTTACTTTTGGGCGGCACCAGCCTCATGGAGGGTCGAACTAATATAAGCACATGCTCATGGCTGTCGCCTGCCGCCATATATGTCGCCGAACGCCAGCTTGCCGACAACAGACACGTGGCATTCCATTGCTGCCACCCACAGATTCTCTCCAAGAAATGCGGTGTCCAGGAAGCCATCTTGAGCCTTGCTTGCCAGGTCGCAGCGTGGAAGCCCGACATTTTGCGACAAAACCCGAATTTCCTGTCTTTGGCAAGGAGGATCTCCTGGAAGGATGATGGTGACGAGGTTATGAACGCAATGTTCAAGATGCTGAGCGATCTGCTTACCGAACTCCATTTAGAGGAGCCGGTTTATATCATCTTGGATCGGGCTGATCAGTGTGAATACCGATCATTCCTGCTGGTGCAAAAGTTGGTTGAGGTGATCAAGAAAGCACAGAGCATGGCAAAGATAATGGTTGTGATGGATTCGGCGCTCTGGGGCATCGATTCTTGGTTATGCGATGGCTTCAAGGAAGACTCCGATGGTTATATGGTAGGGAGATGGGATTGGAACCAACAACAGCTTGGATTACAGGATCTAAGGAGTCTTCCCAACTAGTGGTTGCCTCGCATCTGGGTAGCAGAGCCGCAGCGCCGTGCTCTGTATAAATTTGAAACGTGTTTCTTCATCAACACCGCCCGATGACGACCGTCGGGGCTCAGCTCGAATAAAGAAATTGTTAGCTGGCTCGGATTGTCGGGTGCGCCGGTTGGGTAGAGGTGCATTAGCCTCATGCATACCCCCAAAAGACAGGCAGGCCAGCGCTCTTTCCCAAGGTCAGCTGAATTGGGGCTCCAGCTTCGATTTGAAAAGATGTGCCGAGATGGTATGGCTGAGTTCCGTGAAATATCTGCCGATTAGCTTCTTGAACTGTGGACAATACCTCGATCGCACGAATTTTGATAGCCTCGAGCCCACGATCCAACGTGACTGCAACCGTGATGCCCGGCGAACCAAACTCAAGCGGTGAGGGTGTTGAAACGCCAGTTGAGGAAGAGGCACGTCTGTCACAAGAACTTGCCGAACTTCAGAGACCCCAAAGGATTCTGAAGCTGAAAGCTCAGATCGAAGCAGCCCGTAGAGGCAACCCTTTAAGTGATGAGCAGACTCGCCCTTGCTGCCTGGTGACATTGAAAGCGGAAGAGAAAGCGCACACCGAGACCCAGACGCAACTGGACCGAAAGGGCCTGGAGTTAGACAGCCTCAAAGTCGAGCAATCCAAGAGAGAGCAAGAGCTCATCGAAATCAAATCGAAGCTAGAGCAGGTGGAAACTCAGCTAAAGGTAATGACTCAAGAGAGAGGCAAAGAGCAGACTGCACACAATCAGACAAAGGCTAGCTTAAAGACAATGACTGAATCGAGAGATCAAGAGCGGACTGCACATGACCAGACAAAGGCCAGCTTGAAAGCAATGACGGGCTTGAGAGATCAAGCACAGGCTGCGCACAATCAGACAAAATCCACTCTGAAAACAGTGACTGAATCCAGAGACCAAGAACAAGAGGCACACAACCGGACCAAAGCCACCTTGAAGACGGCGACTGAATCCGCTGACAAAGAACGGACTGCGCATACCCAGACCAACGCCGCCTTGAGAGCAGTCACCCAATCGCGAGACCAGGAACAGGCTGCACATAACCAGGCCAAAGCTAGCCTGAAGGCAGTGACTGAATCCAGAGATCAAGAACAGGTGGCACACAACCAGACCAAGGCCACCTTGAAGACAATGACTGTGGCAAGAGATGAAGAGGAAGCAGCACACCGACGGACACAAGCTGACTTGAATGCCATGACTGAGTCGAGGAATGAAGAGCGGGAAAGGTGTCTCAAGTTAGAAGCTGAGTTGGATGAGTTGGAAACAAGAAGAGTACCCCCTCCTATTCGCGAAATCCAGTTCCAGGAAGGCTACCCAAAAGCTGCTGAAGGCGGATGGACTTTGTTGAGTGAGACACACAAGATAAGTCCAAAAGGAGAGATCACCACTTATAATAAGAAGGACAACGGCAGCGCGAAGATGAAGAGGGTGTTTGGGCGGTGATGGAAGAGAGTCTGCATTGTGCGAGAACCTAGGTTGGACTGGTGAGATCAGCGTTACCCAATGCTTGCAGACTGGCCGTCAATAATGCTATGGCCAAAAATGGGCTGTTATCCTTGGGCGCTGTCGGAGATTTGGCCGGTCGCGGTGGTTATCCTTCGATGAATTGATGTTTTGTTCAGTGATTCGGTCGTCTCTGTTGTCATCACATTACTGGCTTGACTGGTATTTTGAGCATTCCGATCCATTGGTAATTCATTAAGGTTTGCGGCGAAGCCGTGGATTTTCGATTGCGCGGAACGGCGCGGGTACAATTGATTGATTCTGAACTGAGTAACAGTGAAGCTGGCCACGGCTCGTCAAAAGCCTTCTCGCCAGTGAGTCGAGTCGTGAAATCATGTGAATAAGCTTGGCGCAACGGTGCCAGCGACAATAGCAAGGCTGCACAAGGCTGGGCTCTGCCCGCAGGATGGTCCTCGATTTCAACAAGTTGACACCGTGTTCCTCCATTATAGCATCATAGTGCAAGTCAAATGTTGATTCTCATTAATTTCATATCCATACAGGGTATCCTGCAGGTAGCTGTCCTCCTCGAACTACAATTGTGGGGACGATCGACTGCTCAGCTGCACCCATGCTTGTCCTGAGAACAAACTCCTTTGCTCTTGCGAATATTGTTCCGGTCGGACCCCAATGTCTGAATAGCAATGCTCATCACTCCATGACTGCCACATGCATTGCCGTATCTTCCCCTCGGAAAACAACACTAATGAAACCGTAATAGATGCCCTAAACAGCTGCAACTAGTGGCTTCATCATGCCCTTGCGCAGAATGGTCGAGGTTAGTATCAGTCACAATAGCCCGACTCGCGAAGAGGTCACCAGCAATGCAGATGGAGAGAAGTAGCATCAATGCCGGACTCCGCGTGTGCAAAGAGGCCACCATGACAAAAGGGCCTAGGATGGAAACATAATGCCCAATCTGGAAATCAACCCATCCTCGTCCTCTATCGCGCACGTTCAAAGAATACGTCCCATGCTCTCGTAAGCTATGCCTGATATCCTGGGTAATTGTTGCCGAATGATGGTGGGGGCTGTTGGAACATTCCTCCTGGGGTTGTCTGACCGCGTCCATAGGCCCCTGCTGACGGAGGTACTTGACCGAATGCAGATTGGGGAGATGCAGTATAGGGACTTGCGAGATGGCTTGAATCCCAGGCAGCACGTCCGCCAGGACTTGGACCTAGAATCTCATCAGCCATGTGCGCGACAGCAGCTAAGTTTACCATACCTTGCGGCGTGATTGGTCCGGGAGCCCCATATTGTGAAAAGTACGGCGAGGCTGGATTATAGCCACCAGGAGTAGATGCAGAGCCAATCGAAGTCTGTGGCGAGTAGGTATCAAATTGACCAGTAGGAGGACGGTCCTTGCCCCACTGGTGAAGTCAGCAGCCGTCAGGACGATCCGGACCTGTTTGTACTTACCGAGCATTTCAACGGCCTGCCATTGACATTGTATCCTGATAGTTGACAAATGGCCATTGCCGCATTCTCATGCGAATCCATTTTGATAAACGCAAAGCCTCTATCAGATTGAAATCGGGTTTCTACCACGTAGCCAAAATTCTGGAATAATGGAACGAGGTCTGCTTGGGTCGTGTATGGCGTAAGATTGCCAACATAGCACGTTGTTTGCCAGGTGGGAGTCTGATTGACGACCATTTCGTAGGACTGAATGCCTTGAGTCGGGAAGTGATGATGGCCAAAGGGCGTCGTAGGCGTCATGCCCATGGCTGCCATGGCTTGTTGCTGGGAGATAGACGGCTGACCCTTCTGGTTCGCCCAGTTGCAGCGAATTGCGCGACTGCCCAGCCATTCTCCATCCATGGACGCCAGGGCCTTTTCCGCATCAGGTCTTTCGCGGAAGGCCACAAACCCGTAACCACGAGATCGACCGGTCTTCATGTCCCACATCACACGTGCCTCGGAAACCGAACCAAAGGCCGAGAACGCCTGGAGTAGAACCTCGTCATTGACTTCGTTGCTCAAATCGCCGACAAAGATATGGAAATGATTTGATGTGTCCTCCTTATTCGAAGAGTTGGATTGGTACGCCCAGTTGACCCGGATCTCAGCTTGATGTACTCGACGCCCGTTCAAGGTGGTCATGGCGCGTTCGGCTGCACCAGGGTCATCGTATTCGACGAAGCCATAGTTAAAGCCTTTGGAATTGAACTAACGACCTTACGTTAGTGGGGGCAAGATCACACCAATATGGGACCCACTCACATTCTTGTCCGGGATGATCTTGACGCTGACCACATGGCCCGTCGTCTCGAAGATTTGCTTCAGAACGTCCTCGGTAACTCGAGGGTCGAGGCCGCCCACATAAAGCGCCCTCTTATTTGGTTCTGGAGCAGCTCTTCGAACGACGCCGCCGGAGGAAGGCGACAGCGCAGTTCCCGGGGTGACCGGAGTTGGGACGGTATTATTGTTCTGCGGTATGACCACCGGAGGAAGCGCTGGAGGTCCCATGCTGGTGGTGGTGGTGGTGGTGGTATGGCCATTGCTACCAGGGGCGCTATCGTAGCCTGGGGCGCCTGCCGTTGAGGGTGGTGGTGGTGGTAGGGTCGCAGGGGGAATGCTTTCCGTCATATTGAGCAAAGTAAACTGGTTGACAACTCGAAAGGACCAAGAGATCACAAGCGCGCACCAGGCGGAAATGACTCGAACGAGAACAGGGGGATAGAAGGTTCGGTATGGCAGATAGAAGCTCGTGGAGGTGCTTTTGAAATTTTGTGGTCGAGTACTTGGGTACGACTATTGCGGGGAGTGATGGCGATAAGTGGGTCGTGTGCAGGTAAGGAAATTTCGCTTGGAAAACGTCGAGACAACTCGCTATCAAGGTGACAAGCCAACCAAGTCCAGTAGAGCAGCGCAAAGAGTCGAAGGAGAGGGAGATGGAAGGAGGAGAGGAAGGACTCGAATGCGTGATAGGTAAGATGGCCGCAAAAGAGGTCGCGCCGAGACGAGTGTCAGGCGGCTGGGGAGGAGTAACTGGAGACTGAGATCTTTGGACAGTAGGAGTAGTAGGAGTAGCAGTACTTTGAAGAGCAGAGCAACGCAGCGCAGCACACACAGAAAAGTAATGTAGCTGATGGGACTGAGAAAGACGGTAGGAAAAGGAGAGATAAGAAATCGCTCGAGGTCTTTTCCCAACGCCCAACTTGCAATGCACAAATTCCAATCGACGACTAGAAGAAACGACGACGACAAGTAATGGAAGAGGAGATGGAAGAAAAGGATACTTGGAGATGGTGATGGTTTGAAGGAGGGTAGAGAAGTGGAGGAGATGGAGGAAGAGAATAAGTTTCATCTGAAGCGGCGCAGGCAGAGTGCGGTGGTGGGTGGCGTCGCTGGAGCCGCAAAGAGTAGTGAGCTAGGGTGCCAGGCTCCCTACTGCTGACTGATTGCTTGTTAGCTGCTGGTGATAGCTGCCTAGGCACCAGGGAGCCTGTTACG